CGGGTAAGCATTTGACCTTCTATCGTTCGTACTGTTTGTTCGGTAGGTGAAACACCGGGAATTACAAATCTTACTTAATGTCAATAACGTTTGATTGGACAGAATAATAGACTCTCATGGAAAAAAGGCAAACCAAATAAATTACAAGGAACAAAAATACAGAAGACTACTTAAGCGGGAGTATAATCAAAAGTGGTAAATAACTGTGATTGAAATCAGGTGATAAAAAAACAAGAGATGATGTAATCTTGGGGATGCTAAATTATTTGAGTAATAGATGACTGATTACTATCATTTTGTGCGACTAGAAGACAGATTTAAAGTGCTTGGTAGCAAAGATTTTAGCAACGTCTGATAAACTTGACAAACATTTTTTGAAGACTTACTGTCATATAGCAGAGAAAGAGATTTTGTATCTGTCGGCCATCTTTCCCACCTTTTATATAATTAGTTACTTTCATGAAAATTCATTTGGCATCCATTTTCGCGGGAAACCCAGGATCGATTTTGTTTTGTCATTTTTTTCAACTTTACACAGGCTAAAAGGGAATACAGAATAAAAACGGACAAGTATATTGTACACGCCTCAATGACTGAGATGAAGATATTCTGTTTGCAAAAAATAATGAGAGAAATAATAGAGATTATGGAAGTTAGAAGGAAATAAATTATTGATTGAAGTCAGTAAATCTATATTTATGAAGTTAGACTGAGGAAAGAAGTGGGCAAAATTACGTTACTGTGTTTCATAACTTACATCAGAAACGATTAAGACTCAACCAAACAAAGTTGTAAATGTCAGACGCCGAGTGAAAACTTGACACTGTCTGTAAGATATATCTTCATAAGTTTCAATGCGTCTGAAATAAAATAACCCCCACTTTTTGCATAGTGATCCGGTTTGAACTTCTTCAGGTGGATATTAAAAATAAAACTGCCCGGCATATACATATTTGAGATATTACGTACTTCCGTATAGCTTTTATTAGAATCAAAACTAAGCAAATCTTAAAAATTCTGTGAGCTACCGAAAATTCTCAGAACAGTTATCCTTATCGAGCTGGCTTTTGATCTTTCTAGCTGTGTGACATATGATTCAGCAAAACACCTATCGTAAATTTTAAACTTGTCTCGAATGGATTTAAAATACGTGGTAAAATATTCGTCTGAGTTCAGGAATAAAATCGTTCCATTTCACATTATAATAAATGAAATAATGGCAAATTTTGGATTTCGTTCTTTGTTTACCAATGTTTCCGTTAACGATGCTTTAAGCATCCTCTGTAACTTAACACTGTCTGGTACTGATCTAAGAGCAGTTTCGAAGTATGTAGAATTATTTTTACTATCAAAATTTTCACATTCAGAAAAGGTTTGTACAAATAGATAGATGAAGTAGCAGTAAGGTATCTCGTGTTCTCAGTGGTGATTTATTCGTTCATATTTACTTAAGAGACTAATGCACTGGCTTTATATTCTGCTTATTCAAGTATTAACTAAGCTAAGGTAAGCAGACGACTGCTGATCATTCGTATGGAATAGTATGTTTCGTGCTTTGTGGTCTACTTATATAAAGTTAGTACTCATGAAGGACTGGCATCAGTTGGTGAACTGCTTAAAGGAAGGAGCACTATACATGTGATTCGTCTTAGTATGGGACTACTCAACAGTCCACTCAAGAGCCGCACACTAGGACGAGTCACATGGTTAATGCTTCCTCGTTTTCATTGATTCACCAGCTGATGTCAGTCCATGATAAATATTTCCTTGATTTATGCGCGCAGAAGGGCACGAGATGTGCAGTTTCATACTAGAGGATTGGTAGTCAAGCTTTTAAAGACAGTAATTATGCCAACACGATTGGACAAGTACATTAGACACGCATTTCTGAAGTCATTGGTGTTTCTTTGATATTCAGGTTTTGATTATTTGTCTGGAGAAGCTCTGATCTGACTTCTGTGCGAGACATCGGAACTGTTTATACTTCAAACACTCTGAGATTCAGTCAACTGTAACCTATGTCTAATACAGTAGTCACGTTGGCAGCGTAAATCTGAAGTTGAAATCGAAGTGACCCCAGGTCAAATTAATTTGTACAAGAAAGTAACACTCCGGAGATAAAACAGGAGTTGGTTATGTATTTAGTTGTGAAAATTGGATGAAACTAGTCAACAGTTAAATACCTTTTTCGTGACATCTCCATTTATGCCTACCAACTCACGTATACTTGTAAAATAAGGATATATAAAAGACTAGGAAAACTGCATTTCTTCAGCAGGTTTCATGAAGTCAAACTGTCTGGTCTTGCAAAAATAAAAACATGCACTATAGTTGTTTTCCTTGAACACTTGATCGGTTATAAGCAATCTACTGACCCAAACAATGGTTTTAAGGTTGTTCATCCAATTTGTTCATTTCCTTCGTCTACAACTTCAAAACTCAGCATAGGTCATAGCCATTCATGAACAGAAGCCTGACTTCTGCATGCAAAAGTAGTACACACAGTTTTTTTATCTGAACACTGAACTTAACCTCTTTTTTTGCTTTGTTTCGTTCTTCCTACTTTCCCTCTGGGTTGCACAAATCATTGCTGTATTTTATCACTATCATTATTATTTTTACAGATAGTAGTTTCATGTGTTACTTCACTTTATCTTTCCAGTTATTCACAATCCCTACTGTAACTACAAAAACAAGATATTCAGTTAAGACGACGTTTTTCAATGGATTTGTTCTCAAGATATACATTCACATGTTTGTTTGATATTTAAAGACTGCAGTCTATGAGGAGAATTAAATCTGAATATTGGGAGAATAAAATAATTATGATGATAGTTACAACAGTATTGCTAGCTGCTGATGTACAGGTTGGCTGGTATCATGAACATACGAATATACAGAATGGATAAACTCGTCAAAAAAGTCATTTCCGCCGGTTAATTTGTATCCAATTACTGAAACTTTTAATATCAACACTTTTGTCTTATTTATCTTATCTCATTAATATGACCTATTCCGTTGTCTGTGTATAACTTCTACCACGCTTTTACCTTTTGTTATCCATATGCACGTCATAAAAGTTCCAGAAACCACACCTAACCTCTTTTTATTCATCCCATTCCTCTTTTTACAACTGATAACATTAGTTTATCCGTGAACACCATTAGTGTCGTTCCTATCACCCACAGTTTAGATTTCGTCTTTTATTGAAGTCCTGAGCTTTAGCTATCGCGTATATACTATGCATAGCTTGAGAATAGACTTTACTTTTACCTTCTTTTAAACCCAACTTCAAATTATTAAGCTAGTAAATCAACCTGAGTTATAATGGAAGTTCAATCAGTGAAAGAGTCATTTGTTTTTTAATTCCCGAATAAATGTTATAAGGTATGAATATGCAACTGAAAATGTTTACTCATTTCTAAAATATTACTAAAGGTCACTAGGGTTCCAATATTTCATAAGAATACCTGATTAAAATATTCAGAAGACACTACATTTTATTCTTACCACAGCGAATCAGTTGCCTGATAAAAATTTTAAGTCTTCGAGTTTTGACCTCCTGTACACCTGTTCTTAATAAATTTGGGTTTCTTGAGTGATCTCCTTCTTTCTGAAAGTACTTCCACCAGACTGTTCCGGTGAATGAGTAGGTTCTGAGGAGTCTTCAGTGTCTCAATGTAAACAACAATGTCAATGACGTACAACACTGTCGAACATTACCTATTCAAAATTTATAAGTTACTGACCTATTCTAAATCGTATATGCCACTAAAAAGATGATGGATTAGAAAGTAGTTTTTAAAGAAATCTATTGCATTCGTTTTAACCCTAATTTTTCTGACACCGAAAGGTGAGAGTAAGTTAAAGTGACAGGTCTTACGGAAGATTTTTACTTTTTGACACTAGCTAGTGTCACTTGTTTATAAATCTGAGTTTCAGATTTTTTCAAAAATGTTATTTAAAAATAACTAATAAATCTTTTAACAAGATGGAAACATTCGTGAAGATATTTCTTTCAGCATAAGTTACTTTTGCTGATGCTCAAAAATTGATTCATCTTGAGTTGTCACCCTAAGCGATACAATTTGTAAGATTTAATTATGCTGAAAATATTCCGAAGCCTTAAATAGATGCAGTCTTGTCAATGTTTGCTTCATACGCCCACAAATACCTTCGACTACCTATTACACTGTATTCATTTAATTGATCATCAATGAGAAGTCCTAAAATACAGTGTGTTACTGCGAGTATCCCATTTTGTTCTTATACGTTAGAAGTTGATATCTGTAAACAAGTAGCATCCAACATATCCATGTAATGAGGAGCCTACTTATGGTCAGTTAATATTTTCTATTCAGTGTAGGTTGTATTGATCTTATCACAGAAAAATTTATTCCCACTTCACTTCTGAGAGATTTTTTGTTGATGAAAAAGTTAATAAAACAGGATAACTTAACTTCTTTACTGACCACTCGAAAGATCCAAAGTCTTCTATTCATAATACTGAAATGGAGTGAATGCACACACAAAACGATCCAAATATTACATTTTGGAAACGATAGGAGCATACTCACTGCTCATGATTACAAAAACTTTAATTTTGAATAAGCATTTATTTATTCGTCGATAACAATATGCAATGGTGGTATCAATCCTTTTCACAGCACTAAGGTACAACAGATATGTGTTTCCGACCGGTATAATTAAGTGTTTAGAAACAACAGATATGAACTCATAAACTGATATAGTACAGCTACATATATATTGGAAATTGCTTTTGAGTTTGAATAAAATGACTGTACTTCACGCTGATCAGGATGCATCCAGTAAGGCACTGGTCAGCTGAACATCACTGAAGTTTACTTGCTTCTGTGACAGCACTTTCTGAAAGAGTTATAGTTGTTAGGTAGTTGTTTCTTTGGATGTCTCGTCTCATAAATCCAGTAGTTGGAGTTTATTTACCCGAAGCCTTCCATTTTGCTTCCTTTTTCTAACAGCAAGCAGCTGTTCTTCCAAATGATCCGAATTCATTCTACTGTACTCGTGATACACCTTTGCTCAATGAAATATTCGGTGAATATGTGGATGAACAGATTATGAAGTCCGAAGTAACTTCATGCGATACTCATAAGAAAATGTGCACAAGATGTTTGAAAAGAACAGCTGGGATTACTCAAGGAATGGAATCGCGGTGTAATGGACATCATATCAATACAAAAGATGACCCAGGTAATCATACAGTTTTCCTCTTTGAAGATTAAAAATGTCAACCAAGTTTATGCGAGTAGTCATCAGATGAATAATGTATAATAGAGACAAATATATGGTGGTATCTCATGTCAGCTATAAAACCCATATAATAGAATGAACGCAATATACACTTGAAAGACGAATTTCGAGCTACTTTTCTGAATTCTATGTTCAGCCTCATGAAGATTGTAGATTACTTGTCAAGCCAAACTTATTACTGAAACAAGGAGGCAAAATAAAAGGAAATTCCAAAAGCCATTTTTTGACGCAGGAAGATCATTTTGTCATCTGATCAACCTGAGTGAAATGAGTAAAATGTTAGATGCACGCTTGTCAATGCTAATAAATTGAAATAAGTTTCTCGTGTACACCTTACCTTAGAAATAAGACGGCTCGGCAGCATAGGAGAGGCCAACATTTGAGTGTATTAATGTCATGTTCTTTTTTTGATAAAGGATGCCTTATTATGCTGCAGATGCTAGTTTTAGGGTTAAATAAATTCAACAGTCTTAAAAAATGCATTGTCCTCAGAGTTGTACCCTTAGCAAAATCTGCAATTCTCCTACACTTTTGTCTGCTGAACGTGGCATTTTGGGAAACTGAACCCTTGGTTTGTTAGTGGTAGTCGAAGGAGACAAATAGTTTTATGGATATCAGTGGGAATAAAAAAGATCAGCAACCTTTGATGAATAGGAATCGCACTTTCAAGTATGAGGCAGTTAGCATTTAAACCGTTTGCAGGGACTAAATGACAAAACGCAGTTTATTACTCAGACAGTGTGCATAAAGACAGTTCATAAGGCAAACTGATATCATGAATATGACTTGATGTTACTAGTGAATTCAAAAGTTAATCATATAACCATATTTTCGCTATACTGTCAATGTTTCGGAACTACTATCAGTGCCTAAGAGAAGCCATCTCATATAAAATAGAGAATTAAGTCTATAAACCCAATACATTTCAATTGATATCTCGTACAGTCATTATTATGCGGGAAAAAGTCTACTGAGATGAAATCTTACTAACTACTTATTTATGAATAAGGACCAATATCTTTTCTCCTGATCAGCAAAAATCTTTCTATAGAACGTTTTGTATGCCTGATGTGACTAAAAATTTGTATTGCAGAAGAAGTTCTCACTAAGGACTGAATATAAAAAAATTGTTCATGTCTACAGAAGTGATGAGAAATTACAACTGTTTACTTGCTTAAATTTAAGTAGCTTACTTTTTTCGTCAGCATTTTATCGACTAACAAAATACGGAAATTCTATACACTAACAAAATTCGTAGAAATTCAAATGTTGTTAATAATGGCTGTCTAGAATCATTTCATCCATCAGTTTTATTAAAGTGAAAAGAAGACAAGGAAACAAAGATTACTCTGTTTCATTCCTGAAAGTCAAAATAGTTATCTGTTGGTAAGTTTTGACATTATCTTTAAAATTGAAACTTCACTGAATGGGGTTATTTTTGTCAGAAGTTCATAAATTTAGTGCTGAACAATGGAAAATTACTACAGTGCTGAAAATTTACTATTCAAAGTTAAATAGATAGACGTATTCCTTTATATTGATGTTTAGTACTTAGTTGAGAAATCATAAGTAAATTTTAGACAATAAAATAACTGGGCTAATTATAATGAATACTTTTCAAAACCTAAAGTTGCAGGTTAGGTTAGAACAACCCATAAAGATTTCTGAAACACTTGTGAGACGAATACTGAGCAAATTTTTATCAGCCACCTGTTGTCTCCTAGTAAACAAACAAAGACAAAAGTGGACATCTATAATAAGTCTTAAATAATCAATACATTGACTTTCCACTGAAAAGGCATCAGTGAAACCAGTATATGGCATTCTCAAAACCTGTATTCGTTAAACATAAGTTCACGTTTCTGTTCAAGGTTATTCAGGGAATGCTGAATGAAATGTAGGACTACTTTTGCTTCAAGGTTTAGACAAAAATATGATGTAAGTCTATGGTGCGAATGAATTCTAATGTGAACTCAGCATCAGGTGATACTATTCATGCAGAATACCTCATATCAGTCGACATCAAATATCCATTCATAAAAAGTCCCATGAAAAATCATTCGTGCAAATGCAAGCATCCAAATATAGGTTTCAAAAGGTTATTTTTAAAAAGGGTTAAATTTAACTTTCAAAATAATAGTTTAATCACTAGCATTATTGTCCTCCGTTGATACTCACTGGATCATCCTATATTTCAAAAATAGAGACTGTTGAGCTATGGAGTTAATTATTTAGGTAAGTTTCAAACTTTCGTCACTTTTACGAATAAAAATTCAATGCTAAATGAAATCGATTATCGAGTTTTGTTATTATGAAATATTTATGTCCACAAAACTTGTTGCTACTAAGTAAAAAGCTACATGTAGATATCAACCTAGATGCTATGTAGACAAATCCACTTTAACCACATGTTAGTATTTATCATCTTTTGAGAACAACCCTACTAGATGTGTGGTGTTTTTATTTTATGCAGTTAACTGAATTACCCTATTTTTCTACGATAAAAAACATTTAAATTTTTGGTAATGATCAGTATGACATGGTTTTTCATTCCTTACTTACTGCCTGTGCAAGTAATCACAAATAAAATTTCTTTCGAAGGAAACTGACTGTAGCAGTAATAAACATTTTCAACACTTTAATATCAATGCAAATAATTACTTTAGTTTTGAGGATTTATGGTGTCTAAAGACCGAATTGGACTTCCAGTAACCAAGAGTAACTCCTGATAAACTTCTATGCACTGCATGTGAAGCATGAAAGAAAGCTAACGTTTTTCAGTAGTTTTGGTGAGAGTTAGACCCAATAATGTGGTTTATTTTCACTAATATCTTAGACGTCTTAAAGTTAGATAATTTAAAGTTCACTGATATCTAGGGTATTTTCTAATTAGTTAAATAAAATGAAACTTACAATAACCAACTAAATACACAGGGAAGATGTAAATGAAATTTCTACGTTGATAGAGAATAATCAAATACAAAAATATAGCAAGGGAATAATAAAATATGTAGGCATTAAATCAGTTGAAATATTACTGAACGTATGTGATTAATTTACATAAAAGAAAATTAGTTAATTTTTTACAAAGAATACTAACTTAGTCTGATCTCACCCTTGAAATATTTCTAAGCCGACATATTTTTAGACAATTACCAATCAACTTGCACTATATGTAGTCAACTTCAATTCAACCCACAAAACATAATTGTGTGAATATAAACAGAGGGACTTATCAACAGTCTATCTCAAATCCACAAACTTTTTCTATATACAGTTTTAGGAAGAATGTATGAGTAGGAAATACCGCAGTAAGGAGGTTAAAAGCAAATTCAATATTAAGTTTTACCCTGATATATGTCTGATGATAAAGTATTCATGAAAAAGATAAAAGCACGAAGTACTCTAGTTTAGGTTGTCTAAATACAGCTTGATCATAAGACACGTTATGATATTATTATAAGTTATAATCAGTGACACGTAGTAAAGGGATAAAGAAAGACTGATTTCATTTCATCTGCACATCAGGTGTTTGTATAATTGCTCCGACTCTTTTCTACAATGTATACGAAGCTTACATATTCAAAGAAATAGTGGAGAATATTTGTAGCTCAGGTGGATGGTCTTGGTTGTATTGTGTTCTCAGAGCTCAGTGAACAAAATACAACCAAGATATTCAAAGAAATGATGATGAACTGAACATGTTCAGTTATCATCGAAAAGAACAAATAATTTATTTCGATTATTCTGTATGTCGTAATTAAATGTGTTTTTATCTTCCGTATAAACTCCCTTTGGCAAAATAAAACTGTTTTTATCGAAATGGTTTAAAATGCCTATTCACTGATCTTGTGAATGTACTTAATATATTACACCGTTATCCTTCCTGCATTGAGACAGTTATTAGTTGAACTACTAAAATATATTCTGCTATTTCACTAGCTACGAAAAAGCCACTCTGAGTTGACAGACAGGATGACATCCACTGAGTGTACATCCACCGAATGTTGATCCACGAAAACAGTAGACATGGAACTGTCTTTTTTGAAAAGGATTTTATTTATTTCAGATATAAATACTTTCTTTCCACATTGATTCACATGCACATAAAATAATTTACCAAGTGCAAACAAAAGTATACTGTCGTTAAAACTTTTTTTCAATGTTTCTCTTACATACACAGATTTGATTGACTTCACTATTATTATTAATGATATTGCTATTATTATTCTGAATGCCAGCAACTAAGAATGACTAACCGACACTTATTGGTGCTTATCATTTCCCGTAGTTACACCATGTTGAATCAACTGACGTATATCGGTAAATGGGCTTGACTAGCAGTAGAACTTCAGATGTTCTCTTTGCCCTTCTTGAAACTCGTTAGCTGCATTTCAGTAGGTGGTTTATTCTCACTGAGACTCGAGACCGACATACATCACTTCGATCGTTAGAGAATTATCTGCTAAGCTACTGAGGCAAGTATCAGTAGAGAGATTTTAAAATAAGTTGCACAAGAGGTGGCTCACGTACCTCAGCAGCCTAGCAGGGAATGATCCAGCATCTGAAGCGATAAGTGATGAGTTCGAGTCTGAGTGGGGACAAAATAATTTAGTGGGATAAAGTCACATCCATTTGATGAGTTCCCAGTAGGACGAAGCGGGCATCTTGGATTCCACTAATAGCCACCTCCAAGCAAAACGAGGCTATAATATATCCACTTGAAAATAATGTATCATCAGCATGCCACAGATCAACGTTCTACCAAATAGGTAAAATCACGTAAGTAAAAGTGAGAGACAGCTGTTTCTGATGGAGGTGGGTTCAAAAGACTATACAGTACAGGTAAAACCTAATGTTGTCGTAGTTCTAAATAAGGTTATAAATCAATATCCCATCAAATCCATTAGATTTCCAAAGTAAAGAACTTCCGTATCGCA